CCACAGCATGGTGACTGGACTCCAAGGTCGAGCACCCCAAAAAGAGACAGCCAAGCAGAAATTGTATTGCCTTTTGTAACCTACGAAACCTATAGCATCTCTCTGTCACATTTTTTCATTAGTGGGGATCCACCAAGGCTGGCCCACATTCCAAGGGAGAAAAGTTAGACCCCATCTTTTCATGAAGAAATATAAAAGAATTTATGGACTTATTTTAAAACGACCACATCATGTGAATGTAAAATCCCAAAAGAGAGCCCAGATCTTTTAACTCTTTTTTTTAGAACTTTTTCTTATACCCTGTTGTAGAACACAAGTCGTAACTAAAATCAGGTATTTAGATGACATATGCATGTGAAGTGTCCATGCTGCTTCAATTTCTCTATTAGATGTCCTCATACAGTTCACTCTAACAGAGAATTGTCTTTAACTCTTTTGATTGGTTTGTAAGTCCTATCCATTTTGTTCTTAAATAGTTGTAGAGGTGGAAGTTAGAAATTATTAAACTAATGGTTTTCAAACCTAGTTTTATTTTCATAGCAAAACACTTTTTTGAAAAGTAAAATTTTTCTTAGAGCATCATTATATTAGGCAGAGAAAAACTGAGATGCTCTGAATAAACACATCCACCGGAGCCAATCCCATGAGGTGGCCCTTGAAGTTCTTTGGAACCTTGGGAACAGCTGACTTAGGTAATTTCTTTTATTTTATAATGGCAAAATTAAGGCCTAAGGAGTTTCAGTCACATGTCTAAGGTTATGAAAGTTAGTAACTGAGCCAACAACAGGACCAAGTCCCTTACTTCCAAGGCTGATGCTTTTTGTTGTTGTTACTTATTTATTTACTTAATTACAAATTATTTGGGATAAAGCTTAGAGTATAGCATTTTGCAATGGTGTGTCACCAGCAAACCTTTTAAAACAATAATCCCTTTCTAGCAATAGAGGGAGAAGGAACAGGCCCAGGGTCCCCCTACTGAACACCCAGCCTCCATCGGGCCTCTTGTTTACCTCTCATGCTGTTGTTGCCATCTGCGCTCCATGGCCAGGAGCAACCTTCCGCGTCCTAATCATGTGGCCAATTTAAAATGTCAGTCTTAATTTTGGTGGCTATAGTTGTGGAAAACTACATATTACTAGTTTCCAACCAGAGTCAGCTTATGATAGCTTCTTGAAAACAGTGAGTGAGCTGGCAAAATTTGGCTGATAATCTCACACCGTTATACATAGTTGTATTATGATCTTCACGTTTTTTTCAGTATACTTCCAGCCCCCACCAGAACTCTTATTCTTCTTGCCCTGGCTTCAAGTGTTTTACTTAATGTTTCTAAGCAACCAACTAAAATTGGCAGCACTATATTAAAAGCAAGGGAAATGATTACTGCTTATCAATTTAGCACTCAGTGTTCCCAAGTATTGGCTGAATGAAACCAAAATGACAGGTTTTCATTGATAAATGTATTTTGGCTTTTTTTCAGTGTATTTATGGTATTCTATATTGCAGAAAAACCTGCATGTGATAGAACAAAGAATTGCCTGTTCTATTTATAATATCAGTTTGAGATTTAATCTCTCATTACCACATTTATTGATTTTCTCTTTTGAATTAGATTTTAATAACCATCTGTGAGAACAGACTGAAAGCCTGTCTCTGGAAGCAATGCCTTGATAAATAGGGACAGGAGAACAGCTGTGAGCTGTTGTTCTTCCTTTCTTAATAGCTGAATGTCACATTCTGTAGTTTGGCTTTCATTCACTAATGTGAGCAAACGACCTGCCTTTCTTTCTGACTCAAGTTCCATTTACATAGTACGTTAACATTCTGTATTATTCTTCAGTCTGAGTTACCTTGTGACCTAAAAATAAATTCTGTCTGGGCCTCTGGTTCTAATTTCACCCTATAATCCTCTTGGCCTTAGCGTTACTATTTCTCTTATATAAGATCTTCCCACTCTCAGGCTTTGCCAAAATCCAGTTCTCTTACTAACTAAAATTTCACTCTTCTTCCACCTCAGCATGATATTAATAAAAATGAGTGGGTATAAAAATGTGTATATATGCTCTATGAGTGAATAAGTTAATTTATATTTGAATGAATCTGTGTGTATCTAATAGTGGGTGTTTATAACCAGGTTGGGAAAGGTGTGTGGGAAGGGATAGGAAAGGGTAAGCCTGGTGAAGAGGAAGAGAAACTGTAGAGGAGCCTCACTAGTAACAAGACTAGTGTTGGAGAGAGGAGACTATCGTCTCTTTCTTTCCTGCTGAGATGCCCATTTCTTTCTTACTAATAAAGATTTCCAAACATAAGACATCATTTGTAGAGATATCTAATTTTACTTGCTAATGAAGTGAACCTCTGTCCAATATGTGCCTAAAGTAAAAATTACTAGAAATTGGATATTTCCATATTAATAAAGGGTATAAAAATCAGTTATAGAAGTGAGTTAAAGAAATTTAATGTTTTGTACTGTCAGCACCATTGTTCTCTCCTAATACCGAACAGTGTTTCTCAGTGTGACCCTCAGACTGGCAGCGTCAACATCATCTGGTAACAGGTTAGAAACACAAATTCTTGGGCCTCACCCCAGACCTACTGAATCACAAACTCTGGGGAAAGGTCTAGTAATCTGTGTTTTAACAAACTCTCCATGTGATTCTGATATACAGTAAAGGTCAAAAATCATTGCTTTTGATTATAAGAAATTGGCATCTCTGTAGTATCTTCTAATAGGAAAGGTATTTTACTATAAAATATACCCTAACACTAATGAAATTTATCTTAGTTTATTGAAGTTATAGATCCAAGAATAGATGTTTGATTGGGAGAGTGGATAAGGAAGGAAAGACCTTATAGCTATGTTCCTACCATGATGATTGATAATAGCTATGTTTGCTTAGTTGAAAATATATCCTGATTACATAAGAGTAGAATTAAATTCTACATATGTACATTTCACATTGTGGAATTTAGAGTATGTAAAATATTCACCTGTTCGGTTGGGTTGGAAGTATTAACAATTTTGAAAAAATACAATGACCAAAATAAAAGGCTTAGTAGATGGGCTCAACAGCAGAGTGGAGGAGACAGGAATAAATGAGCTGGAATGTAGAACAATAGAAATTACCCAATCTGAGCAATAGACAGAAAATAGACTAGAAAGAAAACATGAATTATCTCAGAGACCTATGGGACTGTAACAAAAGAGGATACCTTCTTGTCATTGGTGTCTTGGAAGGACAGGAGAAAGAGGGTAGGCTGAAAAAGTACTCACAAATGACTGAAAGCTTCCTATATTTGGCAAGAGATATAAACCTACAGGTTCAAGAAACTGAGCAAACCACATACAGGATAAACCCAAAGAAATCTGTGTCAAGACATATGATAATTAACCCTCTGAAAACTAAAGACCTCTGAAAAGCAGCCAGAGAAACGTAACACCTTACCTATAGGATAAGATAATCATAAACCGAGAACAGTGAAGACATATAAAAGGTACAGTTTCTACACTTCACTCCAACTGGTAAGATGATAACACCAGTAGACCATGATAAGTTATGTGTATATAACATAATATTTAGAGCAACCTTTCAGAAACACTACAGATGAATCAAAATGGAATTCTAAAAAATGTTCAAGTAACCCACAAGAAGATAAGAAAAACTTAAAAAATATTAAAAAAATAAAATAAAATGACAAACTTAAGCCCTAATAGGTCAACAATTACATTAAATGTAAATGGTCTAAAATACATCAATTAAAAGAGATTGGCAGGGTAGATTAAAAACATGACCTAACTGTATGCTGTCTATAAGAAACTCAATTCAAATGTAACAATATAGGCAGGTTGAAAGTAAAAGGATGGGAAAAGATATATAGTAGTGGCTATATTAGTATCAGATAAAGTAGACTTAAATTACTGGAGAGAGAGAGGGGGACATTATATAGTGATAAAGTTGGACTTACAAGGAAACAATTAGAAATATTTTTTTAAATTTTAGAAATAAAACAGAAGGAACACAAAAGCAAACGTGCATACCAGATAATGCCTTAAGAGAACTAGAAGATGAAAAGAAGGAAATGTTTAAAATTTAAAAAGAAATGAGGGGCACCTGGGTGGCTCAGTTGGTTAAGCGACTGACTTCAGCTCAGGTCATGATCCCAGGGTCCTGGGATCGAGCCCCGCATCGGGCTCCCTGCTCGGCGGGAAGCCTGCTTCTCCCTCTCCCACTCCCCCTGCTTGTGTTCCCTCTCTCGCTGTCTCTCTCTCTGTCAAATAAATAAATAAAATCTTTAAAAAGAAATGAAAAAGAGCTAAAAAAAGAAATTAAAATTGAAATAGGCAGAGTCTAACATCTGGGTAATTGGAGCAAGGAGGGACTTGATAAGACTCCATTCCTCAACGGGTTAATCGTTTCAGAGGTCTTTATCTTATAACAACTCATTAAGCCATCCATTCCTTTTGTGAGATTCTTTTGTATTTGTTTTGTTTTACAATTAAAAGATTATGAAATGCAACAAAAAGGCAAACAGTAAATGGGCAAATATTTGCAAAGAAAAAAATAGAAAAATGTCATGCAAATTGATTTTTTTAAAAAGCTAAAACTATAATAAAGAATTACAGAGGATGTGAATAAATGGTTTGCATATATTCAAAAAGGTAATAAACACTAAAAACATTGAACATCACTGAAATACTTCCTGGAAAACAACTTTCGGGAAAGGAACAAAGGAAAGAAACTTTATTTATATTTCATCTGTGGATAACTTTTAATTTAAGATATGGCCTAATATCTGTTGTAGGTGAAGTTGGGGTTGGGAGGGACTGGTGGTAATAGAGCCTTCAGGAGGTGCCCTTTACTGTGGTAAGATTTCTGTTATATGACCCCAAGGTAAATGCAATACAAAATAATTCACTTGTTTTCTGTTCATGTTAGCCTGACATTTTATAATTCGGAAAATTTTTACTATTAATTACATTGAATTTTTTTTATACTTTACAGTGAGAGACCTACCACCAATTTGCCTTGATGTTAGACAAAAACAGCGTGTTTCTGTAGATGCGTTACCATCTGAAATGAAGGCCCCAGTTCTTTCAGAATCTGTCCTTCCTAACCAGTCCAAAACTATGAAAGACTTTCAGTAAGTTTCAGCTCACTGTTAATATGTAGACGTATAGTCATCTAATGACAGTACTCTACATAATTTAATATTTTTTGTGTGAGAAATTGATTGAACTTGTGGCTTGTTATAAGGCATTGGTCAAGAGTGAAGACACAAAAGACTAGATGTCGCAAGTTGAATGTGAAAACAAATGTATAAAAATAACAGGTAAGGGGTAGATAATGTTGCAACAAAAGAAACAACACTAAATAAGAGAATATGAGTTAAAACGGACAAAAGGAGATAAAGATGATGATAAAATAATAAAATGTTTCCTTTTTAAAAAATATGATTTCATCTACTATGTGACACATAAAGCATAAAACCTATGTCACTACTGAAAATAATCCAATGAATACTGAAGGACTAAGTGATAATGAGAAAGTAGACAGAAAAAGTAAACAAAATCTCTCAAGTTTGGCTATGAAGTAAGGAAAGAAATTGTTAATTGTGAGGAGCATGTCAAGGATGACCTTTTTAAAAAGCAAGTAAATGGAAAGCTGAATAAATATCATGATCCATTTAAGAATTTTAAGTTCATAAACTATATTTATATTAACTGGAACATATTGTATTCGGCTTCAATATTTCAAATTACATGCTTGGTGACATTTACTTTTAAAGGAGTAATGCTATTTTATCTGAATAATATTTCTATCTGTTAATGTTTGTTTTCATTTTAGGGAAGATATAGAAAAAGTTAAGTCATCGGGAGATTGGAAAGCAGTACATGATTTTTATCTAACAACATTTGATTCTTTCCCAGAACTAAATGCTGCATTTAAGGTAATAACACAAAAAACACATTTTTCACTTTTAGTTTTAAATTTTCCAAAAAAGATACAATAACTTAGCTCTTTTTCTACCTAATATTGACTTAAGCAGCTGATTAAACATATATATGTATTAATTTCAAAAAGTATACATATCAGAAATAAATATTACTTAAGTAATATCTTAAAGATTGTTTGCATTTCTGCTAATGATGATGTTTGACTCCATTCTTTCAGTTTTAAAAAACAAAGTGATTATACTGGCTAATTGAACATGATAAGAAATAAATATTAAAAAGTGATTAAAATAATTCTTATACATTCATTTTTATTTCTAGCAACTTTGCCTAAAAGTTCTTTTTCATCATCCTACTAAAAAATAGTAGAAATTATGAAGGAATAGTTATGGTTCAAAATTACTAAGAACAGTCCTTAAATGTTATATACACTTAATTCATTAATTGAATTTGCAGAAAGATGCCACTGCCTCCTTTAATACCATTGAAGACTCTGGGATTAACGCTAAATTTGTGAATGCTGTATATGATGCCTTACTTAATACTGTAAGTATTATTTATGAACAGATGCAAACAATATAATTCTTTGTCTCTTTTGTATTTCAAAAGCAGCCACACAAATATTGTAATAATCACCTTGTAACATATAATTGTACAGTAAATTTAGTTGGAATTCTCAGAAAGTTAGGTATTTTTTATATTTTTTTAATTAAATGAGAATTAAGCAGAAAATACTTTTATGTCCAGTCCTTCTTTAGGAAGGCTTGCTGAAATAAAATCATGCTTCACTTAGCCAGCAAAAGGAGATAAATTATTTGATTGTATTGGCATTGCACTGAATCTATAGTGGTTCTCAAATTTTACTATGTATCAGAATCACAGGAAGGGCTTCTCAAAATACAGAGTTTCAGATTCAATAGGTCTGGGGTAGAGCTCAAGCATTTGTGTTTCTAACAAGTTCCCAGGGACCACATTTTGAGAACCACAGTGCTATAGATGAATTTGTGAGGAGTTGACATTTTTTTTTAATCCATGAGCATGGTATATCCCTCCGATTACTTGGATCTTCTTTAGTTTGTCTTGGTGATACTTTGTATTTTTCTGGATAAATGTCTTACACATATCTTGTTACATTTAGTTCTAGTACTTGATTTTTTTTTGATGCTATTGTAATACTTTCACTATGTGCAAACAATCATGGAACACTACATCAAAAACTAATGATGTAATGTATGGTGATTAACATAATATAATAAAATTAAGTTAAAAAAATACTTTCATATATTTATCTTTATTTACCATGCCAGATTCACTCATTAATTCGAATAGTGCATCAATAGATTTATTTAGATTTCCTGTCTATATAGACAGTCCTGTCATTTGTGAAAAATGAGACTTCACCTCTCCAGTCCTTTTATCTTGCATGTGTGGATGGATAGATGTAAGTATTTGCCTTGCACTGGCTAGAACCTCTTGTAAAATTTTGAATAAAAGAAGTAATAGCAAACATCTTTGTCTTATTCCTAATCTGAGTATTTTCCTATTAAATACATGAAAAGGTACATTATTATTATGTATTGTCATGTGAGAAATGTAAATAACATACATATCCGTTCAAAATGAGTAAAAAGGTTTTTAAGTACTGAATTGGCAATATTGTGCAGCAACTGGAACTTTCATACCCTGATGAGATATGAAACTAGTACAACCACTTTGGACAATTGCTTGGCAATATTTACTAACACTAAGCATATACATATACTGTGACCCAAAATGTTCCACTCCTAGGACATTTGTCTGACCTCTTTTGACTTGGAATGATGTCAGTGTTTTATAGACACTAAAAAATTAAAACTACAACACACGGGGAAAACTCTCTAAAATGGAAATAAGATTTTTTTTTTAGTATTTGAATTCTTAAACTATATAGGAATGTTTTTTATGGTTTTTCTGCCTTTTCCAAATCCAGTAATGAAAAAAAATCTTATTTTTTTATTGAACATAATTTCATTGCACTTAATAATGAATTGTGGATCTACCTGCTAATTACAACTTTTTACTGGTAGTAATAAATATATTTAAATACATGCAGTCATTTATATTGTTAAACATGCTAATCTTGGACTCGTGTTCATGATTTTATCCTGCCAATCCAGGGAAAGTGAAAATTTTTTCAGTTATATAAAACTGATGTTGGTCATCAAAGGGCCACCATATATGTTTGTGCAGTTTGTCGTGCACGGCACATCCCAGGGAGCATTCTCGTTGTAATCTTATGTCATTGGTGCTCTAGCACTCTCAGATGTGAAAATAATACTATCATAAGCAATCCTCAGTCATCAAGTCTGATTTTAACTATTGAAACAGATCTGTAAATATAAATAACATATAAAAGTCACCTAAGTACCTAATCCTAATTATTTTGATTTTCTTTTGCCTGTAGCCTCAAGACATTCAGAAGACAGTATTAAAGGGAATCATTAACAGCCTATTACGAGAATGGAAAGGGTAATTTTAACAATATTTAGCTAATCAATATAGATAGTTAATTTCTACATACATCTTTAATGTATATGCATGTATTTTACTCTCAGAAAAGATTTTAGTTGTTTTAAAAACAGAGATCAGAAAGAAATTATAAACCATTTATAACAAAACAAAACACTTATGACAAAGCTTTTTAACTTGAGATTTGTGACTTCTCAGGAAGGTTTATATGTGGGCTTCACAGTATCTGTGAATCCTTTAAAATTATATATAAAATTTGTTATGTACAGATATATGTGTGGTATAAAAATGGGATGCATAGTTACATCAGTAACCTAGAATTAAATTAAATGGACATTAAATTTAGCTTTGGATTTCTTGGTAGCTAGAGCAGTTTTTCTTCCTTAAGGAAATGTAAGTTTGGCTACTGAAATATATTTTTTCCTGGAACTAAATCTTGAATCATTATATAAGGAATGATGGGCAATGTAATTGATAATGTTCAAATATCACTGGATATGCAGAACACAACAGTATACTTTGAAAAGTCCATGTTATTTAAATTGATACTATTTAAGTAGCATATAACTTAAATAATAGCTTCTACTAAAGGCAAAGGAATACCATTAAATTATAATTCAAATGTTTGTATTAAGCCCCATTTAAAAATAATATCAAAATTATTGGATGTTAAGGGACACCTGGGTGGCTCAGTCTGTTGAACACCTGACTCTTGGTTTCAGCTCAGGTCATGATCTCATGAGTCTTGGAATCCAGCCCTGCATCGGGCTCTGCACCCAGTGAGGATCTGCTTGAGATTGTCTCCCTCTGCCCACTCCCCATTCATGTGTGTGCTCTCTCTCTCTGTCCCTCAAATAAGTAAATAAATCTTTAAAAAAAATTATTAAATGTTAAATGTACCCCATATTTTTTAATAACATTGCTCTGATTTTCAAAGAAATTCATGGTTATTACAGTAAATGTAGAAAAGGCACTGTGAGTATTATAAAAAAAAAAAAAGTAAACGTTAACATTTTGCCATCTTTTTTCTGGTCACCTTTTTGAAACAAATGAAATCATACTGTATAGTTTGATGTGATTTTTAATAGCATTTTTCCTAATTTGTCATTATGGTAGTAAATTTGCATTTTCCTTGAATTGTATGGTTTGGGTTGAACCCGTAGTGCTTCACTGAAAATGGAGAGATTTAGAGTGTAGGAAATCTCCTGAGAGAAGTGGAAGCCCAGTGGCCTGACCCCTCCCCGGCCTGAGTCCCCTCTTATAAGCACACTCTCGCCGCTTTCCAACCCTACTCCTCATGATGATTTGATGTGATTATCTATCAAAGGAGCATGTGGTCTTTACCCAAAAGTCTTGTTTTATTTTGGATTTTTTATAACAACAACAAGATCTAAAGTTTACTGTTTATTATGGGCTAGGCACCTAACAGTCTTCCATGTATTTCTCATTGAATCTTCACTGCAATTTTATGAAATAGTTAATATGATTATTTTCATTTCACAGTGGAGGAAACTAATTTACAGAAAAGTTAAAGAAGTTGCCCAAGTTAACACAGTAAGTGCCTGAGTCAGGATTAGAACCTAGGCAGTCTGGCAAAGAGCCTGTGATCTCAACCACAACTTCAATGCCCAGAACTGTGTACTGCATTAAAATACTAGTACATGGGACAGGAATTTGGAAATTGTCATGGTATTGCTATAAAATGGAAAAAATAGGGCTCGCCTATCACCAGGAATTTCAATATTTATGAATTGCCCTGAGTGTTTTAAAATATTTTCAAATTGGGGTGCCTTCGGCTCAGGTCATGATCCTGGAATAAAGCCCTGTGTTGGGCTCCCTACTCAATAGGCCATCTGCTTCTCCCTCTCCCTGTGCTTCTCCCCCTGCTTGTGCTCCCTCTGTCTCTCTGTCTCTGTCTGTCTCTCATAAATCAAATCTTAAAAATAAATAAATAAAATATTTTCAAATGTAATTTCTAAAACATAACAGTAGTCCCATTCAGAAAATAGTCTGACAATTATGTAGACTATTATAGACAGAAATAGTTTGGAAACCTTGTAAACAATTTAAATCATTATTCAGTCAAGATAATTCTTCCACAAAGAAATGTTACTGACTAAACATTTCTGTATACACATGTGTATACATATTTCAAATTTTAACCCGTATAACCCGTATGTTATATAGTTATATTTCAGACTATGTAGCTTTACATTTTGTAAAGGTCATTTAGTACATTTGGGGCAGTGGTTTATGTTTTCAGATTTGTTTTGTAACTATAACAGAAAAGTAACTAATCATTTGGTCATTTTATTTTCTTAAAGGAAATTCAAGGAGATACTGGGAGATGAACCTTTTTTCCCCCAGCATTTAATTTTGAAAAATTTCAAACCACAGAAAAGTTAAAGATAATGAAAACTCATATACCTTTCACCCAGATTTACCAGTTGTTAATTTTATCCCTCATTTGCTTTTTGCTTTCTCTCCCTGTGCATGAGTGTGTGCATAATTATTTTTTTAGTAAATGGAAGACATCATGACACTTAACCTCTAATTACTTCAGCATATATTTCTTAATAACCTTTTCCTGCATGACCATAACACTGTATCACACCAAACAATTTTAATGTTTTTCTAATAGTACTCTCGAAAATGCAGTCCACATTTAAATTTCCCCAATTGTCTCAAAAGTGTTCTTTAATATCTGGGTTTTGGACCCAGTCAAGGATCATGAATTGAATCTGGTAATCTTATAGGTGAACCATTTTTAATTCAAGAAGTTACTTTAGAGTATTTTTGAGAGTGTATTCAATAGAATCTGAGAGGGTGAGAAAGAAACACTCATCAGCTTTGGGAATAACAAAAACTCTTGGTCAAATTTGACAATGTGAAAATCCAGATTAACATGGAAAAAAATTACAAATTAGTTACATCTCAGAGGTATTCAAATATGAATTTAATTTCCAATTTAATTAGAAACATACTAGATACATTTACCATGTGATTTGATTTGCAGATATTTTTATATCTATCACTTCAGAAATAGATATATAAACACAAGCGTATTTTCTTTCTTCAGTGCATCAGTATTTTTAAATGAGATATCAGCTATCCTTTATTAAAACAAAAATATAAGTATTCTAAAATTGTTGATTATTCATCAGGCTCTAAACTCTTTCCCAAGTTAGTCATATTTACCTCATAAAATGTTATAGCCTACTTAATTTACCTTTCTCTTTTAAGATTTTATTTATTTGAGAGAGAGAAAGCATGTGAGAGCACAAGTAGGGGGAGGGACAGAGAGAGAATCTCAGACCCCTTGCTGAGTGCAGAGCCTGACACAGGGCTCTATCTCACAGCCCTGAGATTCTGACCTGAGCTGAAATTTAAGAGTCAGATGCTTAACCAACTGAGCCACCCAGGTGCCCCTACTTAATTCATCTTTTATGTGTCTTCAGAACCAGCCAAGACTAAGCACAAAAGAACCTATATTCCCAGCATATTATGAATCTGTTACTGTCTCAGTAATCATACATACTAACTTAAGTCTCATTTTTGGCTTTTACGAACGCAGTTCTCACAAAAACATGTACTAATCATTTTTTGTTAGATGCTATAAGATTAAATACTAATCTGTAATCAATTATGCTTATTTCTTTTACAGTCCACGAACAAAAGATGATCTTAGAGCATATTTTATACTTTTACAGGTAAGAAAGCAAGAACTCAAATTGTCTAATTTAAATCTCAGTCTATGCATGTGTTAAGGGAAATGATATGAAGTACTAAGTATTATTTTGTGCAACATTATTGATATTTTTTGATTATAGTGTTCAGAGCAGTAAAGTTATAACAAATAAACAATGGGAAGCTAAATTATCTTTGGGATTAAAATTTTAATGTAGTTCTTGCCTTTCTGCTGTGGTATTCAGGAACAAGCAGAATGGAAGCACCTCTTCTTCCTCCAGTCAACCTCTTATAACTAGCTTTAATGGGCTCCAAAACTTTCTTTTATTTCCCAACTAGTAGGTTTCTAACTTCTCTAGGTATTTTTAATAAATGTTTCCATTAGAATTCTAATGGAAAATGGAAAAATCAAGGTGGTTGCTTATGTTTGCTAAAGCAAAGGTGATGAACTTTTTCCTCTTGAGAGAGACGGATTCGTAGATACACAAAAATAAGGTCAGACAAATGAAAAGCAATTTTTAGTTTGTATTATTTTTTGAGAAAGAAGTATGTTATTACATAGCTAGCATACTGCTTTTGTATTAGTCTTTACAATTTACAAAAGGTGTTTGTACATATTATTATCTCATTTAAAGGTAAGAAAAAATTATGTTAAATAAGATACAGTGTTGGGGTACCTGGGGGGCTCAGTCAGTTAAGCGGCTGCCTTTGGCTCAGGTCATGATCCCAGGGTCCTGGGATTGAGCCCCACGTTGGGCTCCCTGCTCAGCGGAGAGCGCACTTCTCCCTCTCCCTCTGCCTGCCACTCTGCCTACTTGTGCTCTCTCTCTATCTCTCTGTCAAATAAATAAATAAAATCTTAAAAAAAAAGATACAGTGTTTAGTTAAATATTATGTCCAATAAAAGGAAATATGGACAGTAGGAATAAAAGAAGGGGGAGAAAGGAAAAAAGTAAAAGTGGGAAAAAGAAGTTAAGTAGACAAGAGGTAGTTGAAAGAAGAAGGAAAAGTAGAGGGTAGGAAGGACAAAAGCAAAACTAGAAGAAAGGGAGGAAATGTATGTAGATAGTAAAAGCTAGAGAAATGACAACTGAGGTTCAGATTTTGGGAGTGAGTCTGTTAGTCCGCAGTAAGCTCTGCCAATGATACCTTCTCATGAGCACCGCTAGGTGAGGCTCTCAGCGGGAGGCACTTTCTGATTTTGAATTTGTCCTTGCCAGTAAGTCAGTTTTGTGAAAAATACATGGTGCTCTCTTAGTTCCCACAATTTCAGTTTATTTTTCAATGATACTATTTTTTTCCATGAAGTTCTGAAATGCACATTGTGATAAGAGTTTAGGTTGTAGAGATGTAACTAGAGGCTTCAAGCAACTCCTTCAGTGTCCCTTTAACATTTGAAAGTTGTCAGAAGCTGTGATGTGGCTCTCTCCTTGTTCTTTGTGAGACATGCAACTAATTCATTTCACAGTGGCAAAAGTTTCACAACCAGCTTTTACTTCATTTTTCTAGGATTCTTTTTTTTTTTTAATCGAGGAAGAACTAGGTTTTTTGTTTAATTGGATGATAGTGATTGGCATGGAGCTAGGAGCCTTACATACATTTTCTTTTCTACTACTTAGAACAAGTAAGATAGATACTATCATTCCTATTTTAGAGATGAGGAAATTGAGAATCAAAGTTTAAGGAACACGCCTAAGTGATAGAATCGGCCCTCAGACCCAGATGTCTTAATTTCAAAGCCTGTGCTTTTTCTGCTATACCACAGCCAAAATTGAAATTTCTGTTAATTAAATAATTAAACAAATAGATTATTGTTTTATAGGATTTCACCCAGTATTTCATAATCTCAAATTTAGTTTCCTAATGTACCACTTAGTTCATTAAGCTTAGTGTCTTTTCTTTTCACATGTTAACAAAATTTTAACACAATTATCTGTCTTATCTTTTTCAGAATCCTCAGTTCAGTAATACGTCTACGTATGTCATCCATGCTCACTTGCTGCGACAGATAGCTGCCTTAGTGGAAGCTGATCATCATGTCCTGGTCCACTGGCTTAAAAAGTAAATCACTCTGTCATATTAATAAGAACTCTTATAATCGTACAGTTTCAAGTTTGATATTAGTGATTTTATAATAAAATATATTTAAATGTTTTCAGGTCTTTAGAAATGATCTTCTAATTAACAGTACTTCAAAGCCAGTTAGTACCACAGAGAGGGTAATTAAAAATCTGTTTTTAAAGCAAGTAACCATTTTGCTGGTGCAAACTGTTGTTGAGGTTTCTATCCACTGCTTTCGCTTACTACACAGCACCTGCCTGTCGGTGGTTTTCATATAGCTCAAGATGGTGACCGGATTTTCTCAGATACTATTTCAATGTGTCTTTTTATTTCCTATCTTTATAGCAGTCAGTCTCACCATTACTTACATAGTGCCTTTTCTTTACCTAGTAACGTCATCATAAAATATAGTTTAGCCATCAATATCAATTTATAAAAAATACACTCTGTTTTTTCATAGAGCTATACTCACATAAACAATGACTTTTCTCCATGATTGATAAAAGGTTAGAGGCAAAATATTTTCAGAATTAATTTTAAATAAAATCGACTGTCATTATTCATGGTATTTATGTTCTATAAAGTCACTGCTAACACTGAATTAACAAATACTGAATCATTGATCCTACAGGACATAACAGGGTTAGGTTCCCTGAGCTGCTAGTCTAGCATCCCCATCAACCGATGAGTACATGATCTTATTTTTACTGCATTGCATGTAAAGACATCTTATTTAATAGAAGTTGGTGATTACTTAGCATTGAACTTGCGACCAACAGCACTATGACTAATGTATGAACAAATTTTATCTAACACAAGTTTATTCTCCATAAGGTGCCTCACATTGCTCTTGTGCTTTAGGAACACTAAACAGAACTTTAGCACTACATTTTGGGAACCATTTTAAAACACCAGAATTACTAATCAAAAAGCACAAAAATGTGGAAAACATGACACTAAGTAAACTGTGTAAAGAATACTCATTTACAGTATGGGAACTAAAACAAGAAGGCAGTGTTTCTTTGTTCGACCTCAGCTGGGAATATGCACATCTGCAAATCACATTTTTTGCCATTCTGCACATCTGCAAATGACCATGACTGAAAGCAACACTAATACTGATTTTGGGGTTACAATTAAATTTTAGGAAGTAGGCAAATTTGCAAATACTGAGTCTAAGTAACAAGGATTGACTCAATATTGAAAGCCTTAAAAATGAAATGCCTAGAGGGCAGAGCAAGATGGCGGAGGAGTAGGAGACCTAGATTTCGTCTGGTCTCAGGAATTCAGCTGAATAGGGATCAAACCATTCTGAACACCTACGAACTCAACAGGAGATCGAAGAGGAGAGTAGCAACAACTTTCTGAACAGAGAAGCAACCACTTACTGGAAGAAAACATTTTTTATTTTTCATTTTTAGAGTCATATTTTATCCCTTCATAGTAGTTACCCTTATTTTTGGCATATATATATAAGTTGTTCTCTCTTTAAAATTTTGAGATACAGTTTCTTCTAACAGATAAAAATATACCCTAAATCACTAGTGTATGATTCTGTTCTAGTCTCCTGCCTGATCACATTCTCTCCCATTTTTTTTAAATCTTCTTTCTTTTTTCAAACAACTTCTTGTCTTATCAAGTCCTTTTATAAATCTTTTATAATTTTCATCTTTACAGTCATCTTCTATCCCTTCATTGTATCAACCCTTATTTTGTACATATATGTCTTCCTTCCTTTAAAATTTTAGGAGGCACTTTTTTCTAACAGACCAAAATATGCCCAAAATCTAGTGTGTGGCACTGATCTATGCACTAGCCTGATCATATTTGATCACATTCTGCTTTTTTTGTATTGTTCTGTTTTTGTTTTTATCTTTTTTTTTTCCTCTTTTCTCTTTCTTTTTTCTTTCTTTCCCTTTCTTTTCCCCTGGTTTCAGGTCTTTTCTGATTTGTATACAGTATATTTGCTGGGGACGTTGTAAACCTGTTAGCATTTTGTTCTCTCATTCATCTATTCTCCTCTGGACAAAATGACAAGACGAAAAAAATCACCTCAGCAAAAAGAACAAGAGGTAGTACCATCAGCCGGGGACCTACTCAATACGGACATTAGTACGATGTCGGACCTAGAGTTCAGAATCATGACTTTAAAGATACTAGCTGGGCTTCAAAAAAGCGTGGAAGTTATTAGAGACACCCTTTCTGGAGAAATAAAAGAACTAAAATCTAACCAAGTCGAAATCAAAAAGGCTATTGATGAGGTGCAATCAAAAAGGGGGCACTAATTGCTAGGATAAATGAGGCAGAAGGGAGAATCAGTGATATAGAAGACCAAATGATGGAAAGTAAAGAGGCTGAGAAAAGAGGGAGAAACAACTACAGGATCACGAGGGCAGAATTCGAGAGATAAGTGATTCGATAAGACGAAACAACATTAGAATAATTGGGATCCCAGAAGAAGAAGAGAGAGAGAAAGGGGCAGAAGGTATATTGGAGCAAATAATAGCAGAGAACTTCCCTAATGTGAGGAAGGAAACAGGCATCAAAATCCAGGAGGCACACAGAACCCCTCTCAAAATCAATAAAAATAGGTCAACACCCCGACATCTAATAGTAAAACTTACGAGTCTCAGAGACAAAGAGAAAATCCTGAAAGCAGCTCGGGAGAAGAGATATGTAACCTACAATGGTAAAAATATTAGATTGGCAACAGACCTATCCACAGAGACCTGGCAGGCCAGAAAGGACTGGCAAGATATCTTCAGAGCACTAAATGAGAAAAATATGCAGCCAAGAATACTATATCCAGCTAGGCTGTCATTGAAAATAGAAGGAGAGATAAAAAGCTTCCAGGACAAACAAAAACTAAAGGAATTTGCAAACACGAAACCAGCCCTCCAAGAAATATTGAACGGGGTCCTCTAAGCAGAGACAGCCTAAAAGCAGCAAAGATCTGAAAGGAACACAGACAACATACAGTAACAGTCACCTTACAGGCAATATAATGGCACTAAATTCATACCTTTCAATAGTTACCCTGAATGTAAATGGGCTCAATGCCCCAATCAAAAGACACAGGCTATCAGATTGGATTAAAAAACAAGACCCATCCATATGCTGTCTGCAAGACACTCATTTTAGACCCAAAGACACCCCCAGATTGAAAGTGAGGGGGTGGAAAACCATTTACCATGCTAATGGACACCAAAAGAAAGCTGGGGTGGCAATCCTTATATCAGACAAACTAGATTTTAAAACAAAGACTGTAATAAGAGATGAGGAAGGACACTATATCCTACTTAAAGGGTCTATCCAACAAGAAGATCTAACAATTGTAAATATCTATGCCCCGAACATGGGAGCAGCCAATTATATAAGGCAATTCATAACAAAAGCAAAGAAACACATTGACAACAATACAATAATAGTGGGGGACTTTAACACCCCCCTCACTGAAATGGACAGATCCTCTAAGCAAAAGATCAACAAGGAAATAAAGACTTTAAATGACACACTGGACCAAATGGACTTCACAGACATATTCAGAACATTCCATCCCAAAGCAACGGAATACACATTCTTCTCTAGTGCCCATGGAACATTCTCCAGAATTGATCACATCCTAGGTCACAAATCAGGTCTCAACCAGTACCAAAAGATTGGGATCATTCCCTGCATATTTTCAGACCACAATGCTTTGAAACTAGAACTCAATCACAAGAGGAAAGTCGGAAAGAACTCAAATACATGGAGGCTAAAGAGCATCCTACTAAAGAATGAATGGTCAACCAGGAAATTAAAGAAGAATTAAAAAAATTCATGGAAACCAATGAAAATGAAAACACAACTGTCCAAAATCTTTGGGATACAGCAAAGGCAGTCCTGAGAGGAAAGTATATAGCAATACAAGCCTTTCTCAAGAAACAAGAAAGGTCTCAAATACACAATCTAACCCTACACCTAAAGGAGCTGGAGAAAGAACAGCAAATAAAGCCTAAACCCAGCAGGAGAAGAGAAATCATAAAGATCAGAGCAGAAATCAATGAAATAGAAACCAAAAGAACAGTAGAACAGATCAACGAAACTAGGAGCTGGTTCTTTGAAAAAATTCACAAGATTGATAAACCCCTGGCCAGACTGATCAAAAAGAAAAGAGAAATGACCCAAATCAACAAAATCATGAATGAAAGAGGAGAGATCACAACCAACACCAAAGAAATACAAACAATTATAAGAACATATTATGAGCAACTCTATGCCAGCAAATTAGATAACCTGGAAGAGGGCGCCTGGGTGGCTCAGTTGGTTAAGCGACTGCCTTCGGCTCAGGTCATGATCCTGGAGTCCCGGGATCGAGTCCCACATCAGGCTCCCTGCTCGGCGGGGAGTCTGCTTCTCCCTCTGACCCTCTTCCGTCTCGTGCTCTCTGTCTCTCATTCTCTCTCAAATAAATAAATAAAATCTTAAAAAAAAAAAAAAAAGATTTAGATAACCTGGAAGAAATGGGTGCATTCCTAGAGATGTATCAACTACCAAAACTGAACCAGGAAGAAATAGAAAACCTGAACAGACCTATAACCACTAAGGAAATTGAAGCAGTCATCAAAAATCTCCCAACAAACAAAAGCCCAGGGCCAGATGGCTTCCCAGGGGAATTCTATCGACATTTAAAGAAGAATTAATACCTATTCTCCTGAAACTGTTCCAAAAAATAGAAATGGAAGGAAAACTTCCAAATTCATTTTATGAGGCCACCATTACCTTGATCCCAAACCAGACAAAGACCCCATCAAAAAGGAGAATTACAGGCCAATATCCTTGATGAACATGGATGCAAAAATTCTCACCAAAATACTAGCCAACAGGATCCAACAGTACATTAAAAGGATTATTCACCACGACCAAGTGGGATTTATCCCTGGGCTGCAAGGCTGGCTCAACATCCGCAAATCAATCAACGTGATACAGTACATTAACAAAAGAAAGATCAAGAATCCTATGATCCTCTCAATAGATGCAGAAAAAGCATTTGACAAAGTACAGCATCCTTTCTTGATCAAAACTCTTCAGAGTATAGGGATAGAGGGTACATACCTCAATATCACAAAAGCCATCTATGAAAAACCTACAGCGAATATCATTCTCAATGGGGAAAAGCTGAGAGCTTTCCCCCTAAGGTCAGGAACGCGGCAGGGATGTCCACTCTCACCACTGCTATTCAACATAGTATTAGAAGTCCTAGCCACAGCAATCAGACAACAAAAAGAAATCAAAGGCATCCAAATCGGCAAAGAGGAAGTCCAACTCTCACTCTTTGCAGATGATATGATACTTTATGTGGAAAACCCAAAAGACTCCACCCCAAAACTGCTAGAACTCATACAGGAATTCAGTCAAGTAGCAGGCTATAAAATCAATGCACAGAAATCAGTGGCATTCCTATACACCAACAACAAGACAGAAGAGAGACAAATCAAGGAGTCAATCCCATTCACAATTGCACCCAAAACCATAAGATACCTAGGAATAAATTTAACCAAAGAGGCAAAGGATCTGTACTCAGAAAACTATAAAATACTCAGGAAAGAAATTGAAGAAGACACAAAGAAATGGAAAAACGTTCCATGCTCATGGATTGGAAGAACCAACATTGTGAAGATGTCAATGCTACCTAGAGCAATCTACACATTCAATGCAATCCCCATCAAAATACCATCCACTTTTTTCAAAGAAATGGAACAAATAATCCTAAAATTTGTATGGAACCAGAAGAGACCCCGAATAGCCAGAGGAATATTGAAAAAGAAAAGCAAAGCTGGCGGCATCACAATTCCAGACTTCTAGCTCTATTACAAAGCTGTCATCATCAAGACAGTATGGTACTGGCACAAAAACAGACACATAGATCAATGGAACAGAATCGAGAGCCCAGAAATGGACCCTCAACTCTATGGTCAACTTATCTTTGACAAAGCAGGAAAGAATGTCCAGTGGAAAAAAGACAGTCTCTTCAACAAATGGTGTTGGGAAAATTGGACAGCCACATGCAGAAGAATGAAACTGGACCATTTCCTTACACCACACACAAAAATAGACTCCAAATGGTTGAAAGACCTAAACGTGAGACAGGAGTCCATCCAAATCCTAAAGGAGAACACAGGTAGCAACCTCTTCGACCTCAGCCGCAGCAACTTCTTCCTAGAAACATCACCAAAGGCACAGGAAGCCAGGGCAAAAATGAACTATTGGGATTTCATCAAGATAAGAAGCTTTTGCACAGCAAAAGAAACAGTCCACAAAACCAAAAGACAACCGACAGAATAGGAGAAAATATTTGCAAACGACATATCAGATAAAGGGCTAGTATCCAAAATCTATAAAGAACTTATCAAACTCAACACCCAAAGAACAAATAATCCAATCAAGAAATGGGCAGAAGACATGAACAGACATTTTTCCAAAGAAGACATCCAAATGGCCAACAGACACATGAAAAAGTGCTCAACATCGCTTGGCATCAGGGAAATCCAAATCAAAACCTCAATGAGATACCACCTCACACCAGTCAGAATGGCTAAAATTAACAAGTCAGGGAACAACAGATGTTGGCAGGGATGTGGAGAAAGGGGAACCCTCCTACACTGTTGGTGGGAATGCAAGCTGGTGCAACCCCTCTGGAAAACAGTATGGAGGTTCCTCAAACAGTTGAAATTAGAGCTACCATTCGATCCAGCAATTGCACTACTGGGTATTTACCCCAAAGATACAAATGTAGGGATCAGAAGGGGTACGTGCACCCCAATGTTTATAGCAGCAATGTCCACAATAGCCAAACTGTGGAAAGAGCCAAGATGTCCATTGACAGATGAATGGATAAAGAAGAAGTGGTATATATACACAATGGAATATTATGCAGCCATCAAAAGGAATGAGATCTTGCCATTTGCAACGACGTGGATGGAACTGGAGGGTGTTATGCTGAGTGAAATAATTCAATCAGAGAAAGACATGTATCATATGACCTCACTGATATGAGGAATTCTTAATCTCAGGAACAAACTGAGGGTTGCTGGAGTGGTCGGGGGTGGGAGGGATGGGATGGCTGGGTGATAGACACTGGGGAGGGTATGTGCTATGGTGAGCGCTGTGAATTGTGTAAGACTGTTGAATCACAGATCTGTACTTCTGAAACAAATAACGCAACATATTTTAAGAAAAAAGAAAAAGAAGAAGCAGGAGAGGAAGAATGAAGGGGAGTAAGTCAGAGGGGGAGATGAACCAGGAGAGATGATGGACTCTGAAAAACAAACTGAGGTTTCTAGAGGGGAGGGGGTGGGGGGATGGGTTAGCCTGGTGATGGGTATTAAAGAGGGCACATTCTGCATGGAGCACTGGGTGTTATGAACAAACAATGAATCATGGAACACTGCACCAAAACAAATTATGTAATATATGGTGATTAACATAACAATAAAAAAATTAAAAAAAAATGAAATGCCTAATGCTAATGTTATAGTAATTTTGGTGTTTATTTCTTATTTAAGAAACAATACTCCAGGTAAGATTTGTATCTTTTCAAATATTTGGCAACTTAAGAAATAGAATTTGGGGGGATGTTCTAAAATTTTATGTGTATAGGATACACTTTGATATCTAACGTATTGCCAAAATAGAAAATGTTATTTGATTGGAATTATTTCACAATCTTTACCAGATTATCCCAGAAGAGGTTCAAACAATTGGTAGAGAGATTGCTGCAGTTTATTTCTTTGCGCCTGTTTCCTGCAAAGCCTGAAGAATTTCCACCTATAACAAAGTGTTCCTGGTGGATCCCATCAGCATCCAAAGTGTTGGCTTTACTTAGTAGGTTTTATTACTCTGTCTTCTCTTTTGTTAAATATTAGGGACATTTCTGTAAGGATCTCAAAGTACTGTAGAGGCATTCTTAAATTTTAAAACCTTCCTTTGAAGTGAAGAGTTGTGATTTATTTCCTGTTTTGATAATGGATTTCACATTTAATGTATAGCATGAAAAAGCTTTATGCATTTTATTGGGCAGTATTCTGTATTCTGGCCATCTGCTGCATATGACCTGCTAAGTAGAGACCCCTAAGAAACAGGCACTTGCGTTGATTCCCGAGAACTCCTAGGAGAGAACACTGATGGGAAAGTAGGGTAAAGAGGGGCTCACCTGTGTACTCCCTTTACTATACTGTTCTAATCCTCACCACAAGTTTTTTTATAAAGGCAAGAAATGATTGGCTGCATCTGAACCACAATTTTTTTTAAAGATTTTATTTATTTGAGAGAGAGAGAGAGTGAGCACGAGCGTGGGGAGGGCAGAGGGAGAAGCAGACTCCCCCACTGAGCAGAGAGCCTGGGTTGCAAGCTCAATCCGAAGACCCTGAGATCATGACCTGAGCCGAAGGCAGACACTTAACCCACTGAGCCACCCAGGTGTCCCCTGAACCACAATTTTAAAACTACTTTTTTAATTAGGAGCTACAGTTGGCTTAAAATAGGAATTTCTAGATAAAGTCTGTCTGGTGAACATGAAAATGTTCTTATTAGAATGAATTATGCACATGTTAGAAAAGATCATTGTTAGAATTTATCTTTACAGATACTGCAAACAGTTTGGTTCATCCTCCCCTTATTCCTTATACTGATTTCTATAATTCGACATTGGATCACATTGATCTCATGGAAGAATACCACACCTGGCAGAGCTTTGGAAACTCTCACAGGTACAATCAGAAGCTCATTTTGATTACTTACCTAAATGAAATACTATTCAAAATAATGACTGGATGTTAAATTTGTATAAATTTAAGTATGCACATATCTTTATATATAAACTTATAGTTTAGATATCCAGCCCTGAAACATCATTATATTTCTTAGGGCATTTTCTTTTTCTTACGTTTTGAATTTATGTACATGTTAACTTGGTTTTGGTTTGATTAATAGCATCTTTTTAAGAAGGGCAAAGTCGTATCTTAGTATGCAAGTTTCTTGTATCTTCTTCTGTATGCTATCATCCAGTACAGGGGTCACAAACCTTCTCTGTAAAGTCCTAGATGGTAAATATTGTTGACTCTTTGGACTGTACGAACTCTGGTATACCTCTGTAACACCAAAACAGCATTAGAAAATATTTAAATAAACAGGTGTGTCTGTGTCCCAGAAAACTTCCTGTACACAGGTGGTAGACCATATTTGTCCCATGGGCCGTAGTTTGCCAATGCCTGTTGTAACACAGTGATCATACACATGCACACATACACATGTACAGTTCACTCTTGTTCTCCTTCATTCTGTAGAAAAAGTGGTTGTCCCTTATACACAATATAAAAAGAATGGGAGTTACAGCGAAAGGGCTTCACCACAAATTATTTATTACAATAGTGTAATAGGTTTTCAAAACACTTGACCAAATTCTTTAATATACTGCACCTATATCCACACTCATTTGGATTAAACCAGCATGACTATACCAAACATAATTTTTTCCCAGACCATGTGATATCTTGGAGAGAGTGTCTGTTCTGAAGGAGACTTAAGAGATATGGTAGGGATATAAGTAACCTCAAAACCCCAGATTAGTTTATAAATTGGTTCAATCTGCCAGGGACCCTTTCTATCAGAATTGGTCAAAACCATTGACTGGCCTTCTGGACATATCTCAGTCCACATCTGAACACTCAGAACTAAACAAGAATTGTTTCTGGGGACTTCGTTCTGTCGGATAGATATTTTCGTGACAAAGTGTATTTATTTTACAAAGACACTTTTTTCTCCAACTTTAATATAATTAGAGTGTTGTAGACAAAACCACAAAACAACTCCAAGAGTTACTCTGCATATTTCAGTGACGTCTTTTAATACAGAGCTCTTCTAACCACTGTGCCACAGCGCTGTGTGCCGAGAAGAGCTACAGAGGACTTTTGATCCTGTGACCCTTTCAGTTTGGGGGAAGCCAGCCTGGACTTAGAGGGGGACCTGGAGCCTGAGGGCAGTAGTCACCTCTGGCAATGAACAGCCACGTCTGTTTATTTCAGTGTGTCACACACATAGTATCATTTTTCTATGTGCATGCCTAAGGAAGGGTTGAGCCACACTGTTTTAAAATACGTAATAAGACCAAGATAGATCCTACTAAGGTCATTGTACTTCTTTCATTTCCAGATTTTTAGTTAGCCCTTAGTGATTCAAAACTATTACACATTAGTCCTGAACGACTTGTATTACCAGTTGCATTCTGGAGAAAGCTGTGTGTCTGTGGCTCACACAGGGCGGTAGTCTCCGTTTGCCTCCCTGTGCCTTCTTCACACCCAGGGCTTCACTGTCGGTGGATGGCTTCCAGCTGTAACTAATGGATTCATTGCAGCCACTTCTCATGGAGTCTGGCTCCTGAAGTGTCCCTGTCACCTACTAGTTCTCTCTAAATGCATTTCTCTCTGGGTAGTTTGTGGCTTTTTTATGTAACACGGGATCAGCTCTGAAGGGAGGAAGTTAGTTATTTTCTTGACCTTAGATCATAATGTCGTGTCTTTACAAGTACATACCATTTCATACTACTACACCCTTAAACACAAGACCAGCAGCAACATACTTCTTTTTATTGATCTTAAATTTATTACTTTGCTTTTTACTACTGTAGTTATTGCTAGATTTCCTCATTTCTGAAGCTTGCACACGAGAAATATCCATGTAATAATGGATTTTTGTAATTTCTGCCATGAACTCTCTGTCCTCATCTCCCTTCACGAGTATTCTGCCTCCGGGTTCTGCTGTGGCCATATTTCCACAGGTAATGATCTACAGGTGACTGTGCATAGACTGAAATGAGTTGTGTAAACCATATACGTGGTTAGTACATTTCAGAATGTGAGATGCAGCTTCCTCTAGAGAATGAACACACAGCGCACCTAGTAATGGTACGGACTTCACAAGGCTGTGGGGATTAAAAGAAGTGATGCACATGAAGTCATTTTGTAAATGGTAAAACACAATACAAAAGTAATGTTTTATATTGTTAGGAGGGGTACCTTAGATATTCCCTTAGTATAATTTTGCTAAAAATACGCCATTTTGCTTTTTCTGTTTTCACTTGTTGAGCAGGTTTTCCTTCTGTCAGTACCCATTCGTTATTTCTATAGCTGCAAAAAAAATCATTATTCAAAGAGACTCAGAACAACAGATGATAAGCATCGCAAGGGTAAGCCAGCTACAAAAACATATTTATGCTGACTATAATCAATATAGTGAATAATTTAATAAATACATCAAATGTCTTGTGAATTGTTCTAGCATAATCAGGAAATGTTAAAAATAAAATTCATTTCATAACTCCCTCCAAAAGTGCTTAAACCTGTTCACGATACAGGAGAGAGATAGCCCTCATCATTATATTATAAATAGAGCAGGAAGACGCAACACCTCTCACAGACCAAAGTACTGGGAACTTGTTGGACATCATGCTGTGGATACCACATTCCAGCTGCACAGTAGCCAGCACAGCACCAGCGGAGACTGCAGCGAGAGCAGGGAGTGTCCCTAAGAGCACACCACTCAAACCACTGCAGTGTGTCCTCGGTTTTATGAAAATCAAATAGGAACAACCCCAAAATTAGGAGATGTACAACCTTGGGAAACTGAGAAATATGTCCAAAAGAGGTGAAAGATGTTTTATGGATTCTTAGGAAACCAAAAGGCATGGAGACCCATAGAAACTGGGATAGCAGCCTGATTGGCTGTAGGCAGCCAACCCAGCAGGATGAAGTTTATCTCTCGGCCTGTCCTTACGTGGCTCAGCACAGCACAGGAAAACTTACGTATGTTATCTAAGAGAGATGGACTGAGTGAGCAGTTTTTCTTTTGTTAGAGCTCTAGACTATACATTTCAATGCCCATATATTTTGAGTATCTGCTTTCGGGACACTCACTACTTTAAAAATTAGAGGGAAGGTTGGCAGTAGTCTTAAAGAGATCCTCAAGATAAAAAGAAATGATTTCCATGTCTTGTCCAAGAATATAAAAACATTCCTAAAGTATAAATTATAATACTTTAAAATGCTTTAAAAAATAAGAAATGTTTATTCTTCAGTAATTCAGTTCCCAGAAGGTGAGTATTTTTTTCTATCACAGAGCAGGACAAAAGAGTTGAGTGACTGGTGACATCCCAGAGTCAGCTCACACTGACTATGAGAATATTAGAAGAAACGTTATTGCCTGTGTGTACCAAGGGAGTTCCAAAGCCACTCTACCCCCCTGAAAAGTAAATTTAAACAGGTATATTTGGCATCAGAATTATTATTTAATCTCGGGTAGATTATTGGCTCAAAGATCAGTCTATACAGCTAGTCATTTGGCAGTTTCTGTTAGCTGCATTTATGCAATTTCATGTGCCTTTTTAGTACTTTTTTACTTTGGGCTATGACTTTTTTATATTTGTAAAAAAAAGAAAATCTGAAGAGCTAGAAGTTTATCTCCGTTCCTCTGAGCAGTTTTCTGCCATGTCACTCACACCTAAAACATCAAATATCTCCTTTTATGGAAATTTTCTTCTAATTAAAAGGAGAGTGGCAACTGTAGACTCTGTCACAGGCTGTCTTCCACCGAGCATGGACACAAGTGAGGAGAGATTGAAGAGTTAAGTGGCATGATCTGTTCTTATGGGTGTTTCCCAACATTTTAACTTTTGTAAACAGCCACACCACTTAGAATTAATGGCTGGTGATTCTATTGACAAAAGGACAAACGGCCTTACAGGTAGTTAATGTAAACAAGAGCTTATATGGTATCTGAAGTTGCAAAAGAGATTCCCCAACCAAAAATAACTTCCTCATCAGACTGGGCCTAAATTCTACCTTTTAGGGATTACTTCTTTCCTTCGAAGCATTTTCTATTAAATATTCCTGATGGGAGGAGTAACCACTAAGCCTTGTCTACCATTAGCATCTTAGTATAAATTTGTTTGCTGGGTATTTCCAGTGTGGTGGCTTTCCAGGAGCTAGACTATGAACATAACATAGGAAAGGGTAGGATAATAGGTCCATGACATAGGATATCATCCCGGGAATATAGATCTGTCTGAGCATCAATGGGCGAACCCAGAGAAGAAGAAAAAAAGCAAAACTATTAAAAGCCTTTAAATTAGAGAAATAAAGTGCTCTGAATTAGAGTGTTTTATTATAGTAATCTACAAAATCATGGACATAACCTTATACAGATTTGTAGTATTAAAATTTTATCTACTAAAGCACTTCACTGCATTATTTAAAATGTCTGAAGTGTCATCTCTAGTCTACGATAATTTTTCTTTCCTACCAAAGAAGATGAAGTAGTCTGATAAGAATTATTTAATTAAATTAAATTCTATAAATTGAAATAAATTATACAAGCATGTAGACTTCCTGTGATACTTAAATATTTCTAATAGGTATTTTTAATGTGTTCTTTACATACTCATTACTTATATTTTGAAAAATCATAGATTTTTTTAAATTACCCATATTTCCATTACCCAGACATTTCCATTACCCAAACATAACATACCCAAACTGTTAATATTTTAGTAAATTTTCTTTTGATATTTCTTCTCTATATTATCTTTAAAAGGCAATAGAGTTGAAACAATTTTGTATACACACTTTTGTTCCCTGCTTTTTTCACTTATACCTTTCTTAAATATTTTCCACGTTATTTACATAATTATAACCATCCATTTTAATAATTGTATTATATTACATTACATAGATACATATATATTTCTAAAGTTTTGCTTTTATAGGTAGTGCTGTGATGAGCATCTCACTGCATATTTTTTGTGTTTAGAAATTCCAGAAGTGGAATTATTGGGACAAAGGGTATTAACATTGTTAATGTTTCTGATAAATGTTGACAAATTACTTTCTAAAAGTAGATTAAGGTAGAATTTTCCAGTAAATTCAGTATCTAAAAAGCTTAAGCCAGGTTTATCATCAATAGTATATACCTTTTTTCAAATGTTCCCATTTTATGTTTATACTTACTAAACAAAAAGCTTTGCTATTTGAGAGATGAGACATACAGAAACTGTAATGCAACATTCTTTACTATAGAAGGTGAATTATTTTTGGTCCTATATTTTGAACCCCCTTTGGTTACAATTGCTTCAAAATGAAAAGACATATACAATAAATATATAATAATAATTTGTATAATTGAGTTTATGAAAATATTTATGTGAGAGATGGCATAGAGAAGGATATAAGTGATTTTTACTACAGTGCTAAAATGTTTTAAATGAAATTATAATTTAAGTAAAAGTAAAAATGTTTGCTTTCTTTTTTAAATAGCAAAGTCTGGTGGATAAAGTATCTCGAAGACAGAGACCTGATATGAACATGTTATTTCTAAATATGAAAGTAAGACGGACACATCTGGTTAGTGATTCGCTTGATGAGGTATAGATCATTTATTCTAAAATGGTACTAATTGATTAAAGCTTTAAATAAATTCTACAATATAGCATATTACTAAAGTCTTAGTAATCTGTTTTTCATTTTTGTATGCCAGTAAGTGTGCTTTCTCATACTCTGGTACCATCGTTAAAATCAGTTGTGTATTCACAAATAAGCCTTATGTTCATTATTTATATGTTTATTAATGGTTTGTTGTTAACTCCCCAGAAAAGGATTTTATGTAGAACACTTAAGTGAGCAATTTGTGTTTCTGAATATGTAACTTAGATTCTGGACCCACCTTTGTTACTTGTTGGGTATGTAACAAGTCATTTTAACTTCTCCAGGCCTGAGATTACTCATCTTTAAAATTAGAGGTCTGACCTCCAGGGGATATTGAGTGTACTCAGGCCCAAACCTGCTTTGTTTGTACGGAGCTTCATGTATGTACAGTGCTTCAGCCAGATCTTCATGTGGCTATTACAAGATAATGGCTAATTTCATTATGTGATTTTTAAAATCAGGAAGGAAAGTTAAAGAAAAGGAAATGAAATATTTTATGATATAACCTGCTAAATTAAAATCTTGGAGGCAATATGATACCAGGAGACAGGAACTTTGGGCAAGGTACTTGACCCTCTAATTCTTTCTCTTGATCTCTACAACAAACATAATAATGTTTAATTCACACAGTAACTGACAAATTATTGGATGAATGGATGGAGTGTTTTGTGACATTGTAAATAAAGATTGCCTAATGCATTTCCCAGAATTAAAAAAGTTAATTTCCTTTTTACTGCCCTTTGTTCTTCTCTACCATATAATTTTTTCAAATAGTTAACCCGGAAAAGAGCAGACTTAAAAAAGAAGCTGAAAGTTACATTTGTAGGGGAAGCTGGTTTGGACATGGGTGGCTTGACTAAAGAATGGTTCCTTCTTCTAATTCGCCAAATTTTTCATCCAGATTATGGTGAGTATTCAGTTTTTATGAACAGTGTTTCTTCATAATTGTTAGATTAAGTAGGCACTCTTATTTTTAGCCTACCCTATGACTTTATAGATATTTTTGTCGACCATAAATGTTGAATAATTTAAGGATTGCTATTTACATATTTAAAAGTGAGCAAACTGAGGATTGAAATGTTCATTATCTTACTGGGAATCCTACACAATAAAGACTGAAAGTATATATTTGTAAGGCAGCATCCTCATCTTTCCTGAATAAACTGAATGCATAAAAATTTGTCATTGAAATAAAGAATATTCAGAATTTAAAAACAAGACTGTAGTTTGCTCTACACTAATATTTGAAGCCTCTTTCACTAGAATTTGATCCATTTTGATAAATCAGAATTCATTAATTAATTTTTAAGACAAAAGTAAGCTTTGAAATTTAAATTTTATCTTATTTAGAGAAAACACCTATATAATCCTTAGTGTCTATAAAAGATTTTTCTTCAAAGAGAGTTTTAAGTGTTTTTCTTACCCTTTATTTTGTATATATGTATATATATCCTCTTTCTGGCAATGGAAAATAGAGATGACATGGATAAATTAAAATCTCCAGATAATCCTCAAAATTAATTTTGATAACTTATAAAACTATTGTTTTTATAAAAGAAAATCAACTGATTTAGTTTTCTCTTTTTAACCCATTTATACCCTTGGTTCAGGATGCCAATAAACAGTAAAATGCTCTTACACATCATTGTACATATATTTTATATATTTTAACATGAAAGATGGTCTGTAATGGAACTATTGCTGAAATGTCTTGCTTCTAATAGATGAGATATGTACATTTTTAGTACTTTGATTTTTTTTTAATCAGTCATATTAATGAATTATGTTTCTTTTTTTCAGGCATGTTTACATATCACAAGGATTCACACTGCCATTGGTTTAGCAGTTTTAAATGTGATAACTATTCTGAATTCCGATTGGTTGGAATTGTATCCTTTAAACGTTCCACTAGGAGGTGCTAGTACACTAGAGATTTTAAATTTTATTTGAATTTTGGAAAGCTGTTCACATTAAGCCTTTTATTCAGATTTAACATTCTTGTCAAATTTACTAATAGATTTTGTGGGGTGCCTGGGTGGCTCAGTCGTTAAGCGTCTGCCTTCGGCTCAGGTCATGATCCCAGGGTCCTGGGATCGAGCCCCGCATCGAGCCCCGCATCGGGCTCCCTGCTCAGCGGGAAGCCTGCTTCTCCTTCTCCCACTCCCCCTGCTTGTGTTGTTCCCTCTCTCGCTGTGTCTCTCTCTGTCAAATAAATTAAAAAATAAATAAATAAATAAAATCTTTTTTTAAAAAGGAGGAAATGGAGATTCAGAGAAATGAAGAAATTTAAAAAAAAATTTACTAATAGATTTTCAATTATTTGCAGTATCATAGCTGTATGTCACCAGACTTAATTAAAAGGAATTACGAATTTTTTATATTTTTCTCTGAAAATATCTCAAAATAAAAATAGTTATTTCCTATTTCATATATTATCTGAATTATCAGAAAATTAGGACATTTTTAAAATTAAAGTATACTTTCCATTCATAATGAACTATTTTTCTGTTCTTTTACTTTGTGCTTATTTCGCTTAGTTTAATAAATTGAAATTGTGGAAATTAAATCTAGGTCTTTAATATGCCCTCAAATCTGGAAACATCCACACAAAAACTGAATGGAATGGGAATATTTGAAGTATATGGCATTATTGTATAGTGTTTTTAAAATTATATAAATCCCTGTGCCATCCTCTGATCCCTATCAGGTGTAGTGGAGAGGACATTCCTGCAATGGGTAGGGGATTGGAAAAGATAGCTGCCACATTCACTTTTTTAATTTTAAGAAATATAATTGTCTGTGAAAGAAAGGAGGGAAGAGTAAATAAATGAGCAAGCACTGGAGATACCTATGTTAAAAGAGGGGAAAATATCCAGCTTTAAAATGTTTACCATCTAGCTGGGCAGATGACCACCAATTCAAGGTCATCAGACTCATGACTCTTTGACATTAAGTGCTAAGGAGTTCTGAGAAGGAAAAGGAGTCAGTGTATTCTTCCCAGACAAGGTAGAGGTTTAAAAATGGAACAGTTCTATCTGATGAGCACAGAGCTGGAGAGAGTAGGACACAGACTAGGAGAATGGCTAGAAACCAGGACGCATTGTCCTGGGCTTGTTACAGAGAAGTGTGCAGGCCCCTTGATTGAAGCAGAGGGCACCCTGAGTTACAGAGCACACCTTGAGCGAAGGAATCAGGAGTGATCTTAGGGCTTGGAATGTTCAGTTGCATTTGTTGAAATAAATCCTGAGGAACGTATATTAAAATTGGGAAAGTGGATGGAAGAAAAGTTAGCAGGGAGAAAACTGCACATTAAGATGGTAAACCTACTTTGAAATTTTATATATGTTGTCATGTCCAAAGGTCCACAGCACCAAGTTCCACAATCTGGGGTGTTCATCAGTTCTTAGACGTCTGTATTTATAGTGTTATCTACAGTAATCATTTATTGAATGTTTCAGTTTCATTGAAGGCCTGGGTCACCAATACTCACTACACAACGAGCTATTTGAATTCCCTGATATATATGTTAGTCATACTTTACATTCTTTCACAGCTTAGATTTGGATGATATTTTGACTTTCTAATATTTATAATGCAGTATTAGATCTTACTTAGCTTAAATCACATTTTTAGAATGGTGCTACCCATAAAATCATAAGTTTACTAATTGGCTTCTTTTGCAGTAGGCACTAGTTTCTATTGAATCATTACCCAAAAGAGCGAGCACATTAAGCATATTTACATATGCTGCATATTTCCAGTTAATTAATTAAATCTAAAATTAAATGATTATAGCCACTACTATCTCATTATTATGTGTATTTATCTCACATGCACACTCACAAAAAAACTATAGAAAGTGAGATTGATGCCCAAAAAGCATGATAATATATATAGGAAATATATAGGAAAAATGTGACATGGTAATGGATTATCATCATGTAAGTAGGTGATAGATCTAACAAAGGTGAGAGGTAAAAACTGAGAACACACATTCTATATTGAGAAAGTGTAGGTGGTTCTGTACATATTTTCACTGTAAGTTTCAGGACCAGAGATTTGTTGTTCTAGTAGTCCTGCCAGCATTGCATTCCTAATACTTCAGTTTTAAATATAGTAAGGCTTCGGAGTTTACAGGAAATGTTATATAGTGAAACCTGTAATAATAATTATAAAATGTTTTGAAGATTGCATGAAGAGCCATAATATAACAATTTTTTTAAACTAGAAATGCTTTTACGAAAAGGGCCATTGAAACAGGCTCTTTAAAATCTACCCTGTTTGCACCACCTGACGTCTTAGTGGTCCAGCGGAATTCCCCCACCCTCGTCTCGTCCTTGCTTCAGCCAGCACGGGCTGACCTAGTGTGGAACGGAACACTGTAGTCTGCATATGAAACTTCCCTGTCAGAGGGTGCCTGGGTGGCTCAGTTGGTTAAGCGACTGCCTTCGGCTCAGGTCATGATCCTGGAGTCCCGGGATCGAGCCCGCATGGGGCTCCCTGCTCCGCGGGGAGCCTACTTCTCCCTCTGACCCTCTGACCCTCTTCCCTCTTGTGCTCTCTATCTCTCATTCTCTCTCTCTCAAATAAATAAATAAAATCTTTAAAAAAAAAAAAATAGAAACTGCCCTGTGGCAAATCTTCCTCATCTGCTAAAAACCTGCCTTTCAGGGTTATAATTTTTAAGTTTTAATGAAAAATGCTTAGAACTTGTCCCTGTGGTAGATGATCATAATTGGTAACCATCATAGTATTATGGTCACTATCATTGTTGCTATTATCACAAGTATGGAAGTATATTAGATTTCATTTTCAGTATCTCTCTCTAGAATACACTGCTTGGTCTCTGTTGATACGGTTACCTATAAAATAATATATCTATTCCTTAAGTTACTATTAACTTTCATTCTGCCTTGGCAAATTGAAATACTCATTGTCTTCCAATTTTAAAAATTATTTTCAGTAATTTATCCAGCCCATATGTTTAGATTTCCTTTTGAGCCTATAAAATTAATGACTTCTTTAATAACTTGATATAATAATCTTTATTTGACAGCTGAAATATGACATTTAAAACCCCTCTTTCAGCAAATGGATAAGTTACATTCTGCCATATAAGTAATAAATAAAATATAATTGGGCAGGGTTTATACATATAACATCTGTAGCTTTTAACCTCAACACTTTGTGTACACTCCAAGTAATAAAAGCCTTTCAAGTATTTCTGTAGGAGAGTAATTGTTTGGTTAGCCTGTCAGCAGCGTGTCTGTACATCTGTGTGTGTGTTGTGTGATTGGCCGTGTCCATATGTTTATTCAGTTCAGCTCTCTTTACATAGTCTGTATTTAGTTTTAAAATAGTTTAAAATGATAACCAAAATGAGTAGTGTATTCTGCACTGGGTTCTGAATAAATTGCTGCTTCTAATTATAAAATCACCAACATCATTTAAATTTAGAATAAATTTAGAAAGTGTTTTCTTGTATGTCAAATAATTTATGAAACGTCTGAAATTGCTGTCTGTTGTGATCTTAGATAAATTTTCCTGGGGAAATCATCAAATACTATCAACCGACCCCCCCCTTTTCACGTGACTTTTGGTAGTCAAGGAATTATATTATGTAAAATAAAGGGAAAATAAAGAAAAAGAAGTGTGTGGGATTAATTAAAATCAGTGTTAGGTCTGAACTAAGTATGCAAGAAATAGACTGATGCATAATTCAAAACTCGTTTGTTGTCATGGATTTTATGTTAATGCTTAACATTCAGTATGCATAGCTTATGGGACTAGCTGTTTATAACAGCATTACCTTGGATATTCGTTTCCCCCCCTGCTGTTACAAGAAATTATTGAGCCCTCCCATCATTCCTAGTGATCAAAATATACCAGTAGGCATCTGCAATGTGACCACTGATGACTTGTGTCAGATTATGCCTGTAAGTATAAAGTTATTAGCATCTTATTCCTTAATGCTACATCATCTTCTCTTCCACCTGAAGTCTTTCTCCTAATGCTATTCTTATTTTTAAATATAGTTTCCCTCTACCTATGTTACCCATCTCCTTCTTCATCTAGCTTTCTCCTTCCTCATAGAAGGAAATCACCCACTTTGCTGCACTCCTAAGCTCTTACAGCATAGCAGAACAGGCTTTGAAGTGAGAGAGACAGAGATTAGAATCCAGGCTCTGCCACTTAATACCTCTGTGAACTTGGCTAAGTTGTTTAAACTTTATGAGCTCTAGTTTCCTTATGTGATCAATGGGATAGCAAAACTTATATACGGGGCAATTATATGAGATAATAAAGCCCTTAGTACTTGATTACTTCTGTGGATTCTTATTAAGATGATACTGTGCTATATCAGTAACAGTGTCGGCAAAAACATTTCTAAAATAAATACAACAAATGAATTTCACGGTACTGCCTCTTGCAACATTCCTCTCTTCAGAAATTAGATATCTCATCATCAAATTTAATCAAAGGTTAAAATTTAGTAGAGGAGGGGATACTATACATATCCTTCTGATAATCCCCTATAATAATATTATTTTTTACAGCTGACTTTTGATAACTGATGGTCAGGAGAAAATTCTTGGTAATATCTTTAGCAAATAGCCTAGATGTGGAGAATCTCTGTTGCTAAGTATGCCTATCTAAATATCCCTGTTTTAATGATCCAGTGAGTTTGGTGTAGGAGGTGCCTTCCTGTGGAAGTTGAGAAATCTCTCCAGAACATGTTTGGTTAGAAAACTACTCTTCATACTCCCCAGGGGGTTGATACCAGACACATTTTTGGAAGTTGGGTTTAGGATATTTTCAATTAAGGGCATAAATCCACATTTTTGTAAGACTTAATAGTGGGGTGCCTTGGTGGCTCAGGCGGTTGGGCATCCAACCCTTGATTTTGGCTCAGGTCATGATCTCAGGGTCATGAGATCAAGCTCCAAGTGGGACTCTGTGCTGAGTGTGGAACCCGCTTAAGATTCTCTCCCTCCCTCTGCCTCCACCCCTCCTCCCCGACTGGAGCATGCACACTCTCTCAGAAAGAAACAAAAAAACAACAAAACAAAAATGACTTAATAGTTAGAAAACTAGTATGATGTGAGAGTGCACAAGTTAATAGAGCAGACTCTGATTAAGAAACTGAAAGTTTGGGGCGCCTGGGTGGCTCAGTTGGTTAAGCATCTGCCTTCGGCTCAGGTCATGATCCCAGGGTCCTGGGATGGCCCCACAGTTGGGCTCCCTGCTCAGTGGGGAGCCTGCTTCTCCCTCTCCCACTGTCCCCTGGCTCGTGCTCTCACTCTCTCTCAAATAATAAATAAAATCTTTAAAAAACAACAACAACAAAGTTCTCCCTTCTATAGTCTTGTATCTGCAGCACACTAGCTATGACTCTGGATTATTCACTTAATTTTCTTACCTGTAAAATATTGGGAATAGACTAATTTCTGAGTTACCATCTCATTTTAGATTTTTGTAATTTTTTTAATTGCACATATTAAATTTCTGTCAAATTTTTTACCACTTTTCTAATTTTATTACTAGTTTTTGCCAATAAATTGCCTAATTTTATGATTAAAACTATTCAAATTTGGCTCATTTAGAGCCAACTTTTTTTTTTAGTTAATGGATATTTTATGAATGATGACATTGAAATATATTATGGAGCTGAAGATTTCACTGTGCTAATTTCATATTCTCATGTTGGCCCTTTAATAATGAATCAAGATTCCTACAGCGTGGTGCTAATAAATGCAGTAATATTCCACTGTTTCCTTAGACGAACCACCAGGATTGTCCTGCGACAACAATAAGAAATCTTCCCAACCTTAACTTTGTGAAAATTACACTTGAGGGTTTTAGTTCAGAACAGAGGAGACTCGAGCATATCCTTGAATCAGCAACTGTGATATCTCTTATGCTTAAGTCACTCCCAAATATGTTGTATTAAATAAGGCCAGGAAGGGTATTCAAATGGTGTATAAAAACAGTATTCAGTATATTCACACACTCTTTATCTAATTATAGGTTTACAAAATCATAAAAAGTTTATACAGGTAATTAATGGTATTTTAGAAATAGCATATTACAGTTAAAAGTCCAAGATTGACAATATAGGTAAACAAAAAAAAAATTCTCAACAAAAATAGGGGTTTGAAAACACAAAGTCTGGAAATAAAGGGTCTATAGTCCCAAATAAAACAGATCTGAATACATAACTTCATAACCTATTGACTTTGTATTTTGTCATTAAAAATTTCATCTCTGAAAGATGGTGGTAAGTCCTTTCCCCTGGGTTTACCTGGTAGTCTGTGGAGTTCTTAAAAATTGCAAACTCCCAATTATAATTTTCAGCATTCATGATTTTTATTAATAATTGAAGCAAATGATGACAGTCATACCATATCTATGCCAGCCTAGATTTGTATAAAAATTTCTGATTTTAACAGAATGGAAAATTTATTATGTATTTAAGATTGTTCTATGCTGTTGTTTACCTTTTCCTCTAATAATTAAAAATAAAACTTTAATTTTGTTCATAAAACCTGAAAAATATTTTTAAATATTGGGTCAGTTTTTCTGTTTGTAAATCTTTGTTCACGGATAACATAAGTTATAGGAAAATACTACTACTGCTGTTCCCAACTCTGGGGGGAAGAGAAGGGCACTGTAACCGAAATGTAGAAACCATGTGCCATGTATGAACTGTGTTTTGATGCTTAAAAGATGAATCCTAAGACAGCAGATTTTTAAAGAATATACATTGAAAAATACTTTGTATTCATAAATAATAATGTTGCTGATAGCAGTGAATTATGATGGAGACTGTGCTCTTCGCTCACTGCATAAGAACAGATCCGAGTTATGCCTCTGTCATTTGAACTGGATGTTTTCCTCTTACGTGACTTTTCCCAACGAGTTTTTCCAAGACTTTCACGTGATAGAAATCATTAACATTTTGTGCCCTGGAAAAATATATCCCAAATATTATCTTTAGTTCAAAATCTGAAAGAGTCTATCTACTCTATCTCACATGTGAGTTCACTATGGTAGATCTGCTTAACTATTTTAGGTAATATTATTTGATTAAAAACTCAGGTAACAGATTTCTTTTTACAGGAGTTGGCCCATGGGTTAAGTGAACTCCTATCCTATGAAGGCAATGTTGAAGAAGATTTCTACTCAACATTCCAGGTACCGTTAAGAGCAAATAGCTTTCTGTTAACCATGTATTTCATATACGAAAAATGCCATTTGTTATTCAATATCTATCATTAGAAAAGAGGAACAAGGATTAATCAACACACACCATCCCTTATCATAAAGGATCTTAACCTGATAATGCAGAGACAGTACAGCAGACACGTGTAGATGGCCAGTCAAGGAAAGTGCCTAAAGAAGCTCCCCAAGGGTGCAGGTACTCTGCCAGGCAGCAGGCCTACTGACTTAATTCAGCTACTTTCTCAGAGCTTTTCAGCTTCTAAAAATAAGCCTCTCCTGTAGCTTCAATACAAGAAGTTAGGAGCAGAAACTAGTGGATCAGACCAAAATGGTCTCATTTCCTCTCCCCTAACAGTAATTGGGAGATGGAAGTCAGAGTAATCCACAGAGCTCCAAAGACCTGAGTATTATCTAAACGGCCACACAAGTCGATGAACAGCAGTAAGGTATTCAGCTGTGCTCCACAGAGAGGGTTAAGTCCCTGTAGTTTGTATATGGGGGAGGGGGGGGGG